AAAAAAAAAAAAATCTGTTTTGTTTTTATTCTTGGATCAGGCTCCAAAGGGTTAAAACCCAACAGACATAGTATAACAACTCTATGAAAAAATTAATTAAATAAATCAGTTGTCAAAATTGAATCAATTAGTTCCTGTAAATAAAAAGCTATTTAAACGGTTAGAAATATCGCCTTCGGCAGGAATAACCTCCAGTAAAGTCCTTCATTAAGGAGCTGAAGAAGCCTCTGACTGAACACCCATGATTATTTCTCACTATGTAATGTTCTACCTGTTCTACCTTCCCAACCTAAAAGAGGAGGTCAATTTAGACTCTAGAAATACTTTTAAGGGCCAACAATGAAGATAAAGCACGTGTGTGGAATAGACTTATGTGCATGGAGACCTTCACATTAGCATGCTAACACGTCACTCTCATTAAAATGATCCAGAAGGCTATGTTTAATTTTTGGACACCCCTATGGATCTTCGCTGGCCTTTGGACCACTTTGAGTGGTTGTATAGTCTTAATGTCACATAACTCGACACAGCAAATAACTTTTGCCGCTTGGTTTTTATGGACGGTAGCATTAGCTAGCTTTTAGCAATACAAGCTAGCCTTTTCCTTAGCATCTCTTGTGTTTTTCCTCCCTGTTACGTGGTGGTCCAACGAGCCGGGTCATAGTAACAGCAATAAACCACGAGAATAGCATTTTGTAGTGGTGCGGTACTGATAAATGGCCGGGATTTGCTGTAATCCCACAGAGGCAGCTGCACAGGTGAGCGTGTGTGTCATGAATCAGGCTGAATCTGGAAGACAGAGGAGCAATAGCACTGACAGCTAACTTCAGATATTATATACATCTGCTTCCCCGGGATGGAATGTATGTGTGCCAGCAGCTGGAAAATATGTTGGGAGGGGGGGATGATGGTTAAAAGGAAACCCTTTTCAGAATTTTGGGTGGAGATGGACACCTACCACAGAAGTAAATGTCGCCCTCTGTTGGGGGAATCTTTCCAGATACAGAGATCCAGTCCGCTGAGATCTCCAGAGGATAAAGAATGTAGAAAAACAAATCAAATAAGAACAAAAAAGGAGACAAAATTAACTAACAAGGGCCAACAAAGCAAGGTCAGCTGACATCTCACCAAGCTTTGAGCAAAGATGGACATATAGCCAATTACTTTTTAGTGTCTACGTAGTGTCTATATTTTTATATTTTATCTGGGAAAAAGTGGAGAAAAACATCATATTACCAATGATAATAAGAATAAAAATCACATGAGCTCAGGAGGACTTTGGAATACATTTTTAATTTAATCCATCCATCATTAATCCTTTAAAGCCTGATTTGATTATAAATAGAGAGAAAATTCTTACTTTGTTTGTCTGTAGTCGTTATTTAGTACACTTAACAAAAAGAACAATAAAGGAACATAATTTTTGTATTTTAAGGTAGTGTCGTAAAATGAAGGTCTTGTGTTCTTCTGCCCACTGGCATCAGGTATATCAGCATATTTACAATGAAGTTCTGAGCAAATATTTAACCCTAAAGTAATGCAAAAGGGCTCAGATGCAAACGATTTCAGAAACCACATACATCGAATATGATACAAGTTAAATTTCTATAATAATTAAAAATAACAATACATTTGATTTGCATTGCACTTCACATACTCGAAATGTCAATGTGATTACAGGATTCTAAAGAAAATAAAGAAATAAAACTAACTATAAACAAATTTAGAAGAACAATGCCTTGGCAACTGTTGGTTTGTACATACAAGTGTATCTTTGTAAAGTACAACTTTTCAGCCAAACTTTATTTAGTATTTTTCTTTTTTTTTTAAATTGATGTGATATTAAGACACAAAAGAACTAGGCCAAAAATGAACCCGAGGATACATTTATTTTAACCAAAAATATTCAAATCTGACCTGAATGTGCAGTGGAAACAATTTTTTTTAAAGTTACAAAACTACACAAAATAATTACAAAACACAGTAATCATAAAATGTGACTTTAATTAAGTATTTAACACAACTGCAATACTACTAATAATGAAAGAGCAATAATTAACCAAACTTTTTTTTTCTCCTTACACAAAAGGACATTTTTGTTCAGATCCGCCACTTTTTGGTTCCTCTTGATTCACAAACACTGTATTAGCAGTCAACAGCAGAAGTCTTCAAAAGACTAAACGCATTGCTGATGGAAAATTAGAATATCATCAAGTAAGTCAATCTTTAAGTCAAGACATGTTTCAAAGTTGCATTAAAAATACAGATTACTTGTTCTTGCCATTATTCAAAAATTCTTTATTTTGTGGTCAAACAAGAGCATCAGTACAGCTACAAATTTTTTTTTTTAATGCAACAAGTTGAAAGATGTACGACCAGACATTAAAATTACCCATACAGCTGAATCCACACACATTTCGGACGGATTTCATGTCATAAATGTATAATTTAATAATGAATAAAAACAGATTTCTAATAGAATACCTGATGCAGAGATGGAAATGTAATATTTTGATGGCTAAATTAATATGTTAGCATCATTCAAGTTTCCATGGAGAAGTTGTTTTTTTAATTCAGGTCTGACAAAATCTTCAAAGATTTCTTTACTGAAATATTCAATTATGTTCTTTTTATATTTAAAAAAATACATATAGCTATAAATAGCTATATTTATTCATCCATGTTGCTTTCTTTGGGGTAGTTAGTGTTAAAAAATAAGTTTTTGTAAATGTTGTATGTGATGAGTTTGAACATACACATTCAAAAAGGGAAGGATCATATTTGAAGGCATAATGTAAGAACAGGCTTCTGACTCACAGACAGCTTTTTGCCGGTAAAATGAAGTTGATTGTCATGTCCACAACAGGTTATTTTACCTAAAAATAGAGATGCAGTTTGTTGCTTTAATGGGAGGGCAAAATTCGAGATCTCCTCACTGCATGATGCCAGTATTTTAGATCCAGTTCTTAAAAATAAAAAAAAACAAAAAGGATAAAAAAAAAAAAAAGTTAAAGCATTTCACTGCTGCTGATGGAAACAGAAATAAGACTTTGCAGAAACCAAAAGCAGGTCTCACCTGCCTTAACAGAAAAACTGTTTCTAAAATTATGGAATTTCCACTTTAGTAAACAAACTGATGGGAATGCAAAAGTAACGTCAACACATTTGGAGGCAGTCGGAGCTACATTATCAAAGATTAATGGCACTTTTGCTCAAAGCCAGCTAAAGAGACGCCTACTCTCCTCGATAAACGACGATGTTGTTGTCGGTCTCGTAGATCTTGATCTCGTGGAGCAGGTTCTTTGGCAGTTCCTTCACCATGTTGTCCCAGATGTAAACGGCCAGGTTTTCCGTTGTGCTGGGGAGGAAAAGGAGAGAGAATCCACAGAGTGAGTGCCAATGCGGAGTCAGACAGAAAAGTGCTGAGTGGGTTTGAGACGGTACACACCTGGCCACCGTGGCAAAGTAAGGGACGTCCTTATCCAGGTTTTTATGGTCCAGCGGAGCCATGATCACTTTCTGTGGGGAAAGAAGTACTGGAATCAGTCGGGTTTTGGATATTGTACAGGGAAATAAAAGGGCTGTCTGGAGAAAAAAGAAAAAAAAAGTCTGAATAGATTCAGTAGTTGTACTAATCCTTTGTAGCCAGACTTAAAAAGAACTATAAGTTAGCTTTTACTGAATATTAGATATTTTGTTACCATATTTTTAGTATATAGTTCTATTATTAGATATATAAGATAGCTTCCAAGAAACACTTGAATTATATTGCCAAAGTCAGCTTATCCCATCTGTAGAAGTTGATTAAGAGTTTAATTTAAACAGCAAAATCAATCAGCACAATATTGCCGACTCTGTGGCATCTTATTGACATTATATGGGTTTAATGAGTCCTTTTGGCCAGAGCTGAATGGTCCTTAAAGCTGAGGTGGGACCTCGGCTGGAGGAATATGTTAAACATCCAACATCCTCGGCCCACCGCCAGAACTTTGGGTTGATGGTGTTGTTAGGACTGAAATTAGACTTAGACTTTCTTTATTGTGGCTGTACAAAGCCACATAGTTCATTTGACAATGATATGCCATCGCTTGGCAACCAGGTACAGCGAGGTCTTTGTGTAGGGTTGGTGATAAATAGTCTACGGATAATTAATAAAAGCTAAACTATATAAACATAACTACGAATATATAATAGCTGGAAAAAATGTTTTTAGTATAAAAGATAAATAGAGTTGGGGTCTAAATATAAACAGTACAGATCACAACTCTATATATCTTTTACATGCATTTTATATCCATTTATATTTTTGCACATGCATGATCATTTGTCTGCGTTTTAAGGATTTGCAAAAAAAATTGTTCTAGAATAATCTATTATTATCAAAAGATATCCTGGATATGTTGAACCTGTTTGTACCCACATAAATTTCTACAGGAGTGACTTTAGAAAAGGAAGAAGAATGAATTGATTGCTACTGTTTGTTAAAAAAAAGAGCTAAAAAAAGAAAAAGAAATCATGTGAAATCACATTTTTTAAAGAACAATAGACTCAGAATGCTGGTCTAGCATCTCAACTGAGCTTTAATGAACAAAAACCTACCTCAATATGCTTCTTCAGGTCTGTCAGGTTCATGACCATGCCGGTTTTTCCGTCGATCTGCCAACAGACACAGGATGAAATGGTTTAGGACGAGACCCCTGATGCGGGTCACGGTCTGTGACTCAGCCTCGACCTTTAAACTGGGCCTGAATCTTCATTTAAACGTCTTTTATCTGCTTAAAACTCACCTTTCCGCGCACCGTTACCTCCACTGTGGACAGAAACAACAGGACTTGATTAATGGGCGGCCACAGAAAATGCAGCTTTTTCTGATGTTTCTATTCGGCCACCAATGTAAAACAGCGACCGTGCTGCGTTTTGTCCATAAATGTCCATAAAATAGCAAACCTTTGTAGTTGTGTCCGTGGCCGTTAGGATTGTTGCACTTCCCAAATACCTTTTTATTCTCCTCATCGCTCAGGTGAATGCTGAAAGGACAAAATAAAACACAAAGTAACGTCACGTTGACTTCAGAGTTCTGACAGCTCTATAAGACCGATGGTGGTGCGTTCAGGTGCAACTCGTACATCGACACTGGATCCGTCAACAAAGTTAGCCTGTTTAAAGAAATCCCAGTCCTGTGCGAACTATAACCTCTTTGTCGAATTTTTAAAAAGATTAACATTGTAATGATTACCGACTGGCACTCCTGCTAGCAATTGAGCAATGATGCCGTTTGTACCGGCTAGTTTTTCAATACTTTAATTTCATAGACGATAGGACCGAATGCACGTGATGGCAGCGTCAGCTTCCCAGATGTTAAATGCTTTGGAAAGACTACAAATCCCACCAGAATGATGCCAAAGATTCAAATTTGACTCGTCTGAACTTAAAATTGAAACGAATGAGCATGAAGGATTGATCGCGCCTCGCTATCCTAATTTTTGTTAATTGTGTGTAGTTTGCTTCCTGTTCGACATCCATCGTTCATTAGTGAAGCGCCAGTTCTGGTCTGATACGCGCTGAATTCTACTACTATTCGCTCGTTTGACACGAAAATGCCAGAAACGGTCGGTTTTTATTCAACCCACCGCTCCTGTGAGACTGTTACTTTCATTCGGCATGCACTGTTAACCCAGCCGGACGGTGAAAAGAGGTCCATTCTACTACGGGAAGCCGGAGGGGGGCACCGAGGAGCCGGAGGGCGGCGGGGTACCTGTGGAGTCTGTGGCAGGCGCTGAAGCTCTGGACTCGGGTGATGTAACCGACGCGTTCCGCCACGTTAGGGCCGGTAGCAGAGTCGCCCATGTTCGGTCCTCACGTCGGACTCCCGGAGAGGATTTACGCTAATGTGCTGATGCTGAAGAGACGGGAGTTAAAACCGACAGGCCGCCGACCGAAGCCCCGCCCCTGTGGCTCACGCTGTCCGCCATTGGCTGATATCGGGGAGTAAATACAGGTCACGTGTCTCACGCCCGGAGCCTGGGGGTGAGCGTGTTTCAGAACCAGAGAACCGCAGAAACTGTCCGTGTGGAATAAAGTCCTGTATTGATTACGTTTATCTCTTAATTTGGCTTGCGGTTCGAGCGTTTAAGGACAGATGGAAATCTACGTTTTACTGAGTCACATGAGCCAAACGGAAGTTAACTGTGGTACAAAGTTTGGGAAACTGTACAGACTTAGACATCCATGTTACGCCACTTATTCTATTTATTCAGATGGGATATAGTTTGTGACTTTAATGTACAAATTGCATCTCTGAAACATAAAAACGTTGAATTCCCTACATGTAAAAATACATACAAGGAGTAACAGAATTCTGAATCTGTTCTAAGTACTTCTACTTCACTGCAAGAAAGGTCCTGGTTTGGAGTTCAACAGGGCCCACTCTGTGTAGGGTTCACATGTTTTACTTATTCAGGGCCTTTTTTCAAACTACGGATTGGATAACCTGTGATCTACATTGAACGTCACAGTAGGTCCTGCTCATCATATGTCGCTAACTGGGTAGTTCCCAGCTTCTCACCTGAGAGTGGTCAGCTAATTTAAGAGGGAAGCCAAATTATTGGATAGCAAAATAAGGCTTTAAATGAATGTATATGGCAAATAAAGAGTATAGAAATGTTAAATACCTAAATAATCGGGAGAAGAAAAATCCAGCAAAGACATCAAACTGTGCCTGAAAAACCCTCAGTTTATCCATATATTGTTTTTAAGGAAAAGTAGTACTTATTCCTAAATGTAATTAGTTTTACAGTTAAGGAAAGTATTTCAAATGACCAAAGCAGAGCAGACGAATTAATGGACTTCGTTGCGCACACGTTTCTAAAACTGACTGTTCTACTTTAAGCATGGCGCTAATAAACGTGTTTTTCATGGTTTGCTCACACTTTAATTTCACGTGTCAGAGTTGGAGCCTCCTGGTTCTCATGTGAGAGTCACCAGAGACTGCACTGCCAAAGGCAGAGTTCTTCTTTTCACCTTACTGAAGTCTGATGCTAAACCCGAAAATGTGAGAGAGGTTCATGGTACAACTCCTTTACATTTAAGTCAAATGCACATTTACACATATACACATGTCAAATACAGAGTTTAATGATCAAGCACCAATTGTTGTTCATTAGTGTTCAGGCTGGATGTAAAGAGACTTTGAATCAAAAGTGGGACCATTTATATTATTCAGAATAATGAGCTTCATTTGGGATAATTAGTTAATTACTTTACTGCATAATAATGCAGTAAAGTGCAAATAATTCAACTTTAAAGAGTGTGTGAAATGTAAAAAGCGAATTCTTTTGAGTTTCAATTGGTTAAAATGATCTGTCCAAGTTATTTTTATTGCATCTGGTTCAATTTAAGCAAATGTTTGCGATAGTTTCCATCCTTCAATTCATACCCAGCATTTTGCTGTATTCTTTAATCTGACTTAACCTTTAACCTGACATAACATTTGTTATTTTTGAGCTAATAATACCATCATGACTTTATTTAGATCCATTTATGTTTTATTATTGAGCTGGAGTTGGGTTGCAAAGTTGTGTGGTGGTCTCAGTCCAGGAGGGTTCCCAGTTTGAATATCTGGGAGACTGGGGAACTTTTTGTCGGTGTTCTCTCAGTGTCTTCACACCGTAGGAACAACGACGGTTTGCTGATCAGATCGGTGCGTTATTTGTTTTTCTGAGGCCAAAATCGAGGAAACGAGAGAGAGTGTAACAGAGCTGTCTTGTGTTTTTTGGCTCAGGCTCCTCTGTGATGTGTAATAGTAATAGTGTTCCTGTGATTAAAAAGCTTCTAGTTTGAAAAGTAAACCTCTGATTGCTTCGATAGGACACATTTTTCTTTTCTTCAGAGTTTTTCTGCATTTCTCCACTCTGCCAGCTAGCCCCTGCACTCTGTACTCCAACATCATAAACCTAGAAATTGCCTAAAATTTCATTTTTTTATTTAAAAAAACTGAGGTGTTCAGGAATAGTTAAAAGTCTCTGAACGCATGCAGAAGTAGTAAGGTTAAGAAGATCTGAAGGTTTTTAAAGAATTTTGAGGTTTCTCCATTAATTTCAATGAGAGACAAAAACACAAAAAGTGGAACATTTTAAAAACCAGTAGACATGGCGTAAATATCCTGAAGAGCCGAATGTTTTCACCCCTCGTTTGTTCAGACGGCTGCAATTAGTGGAATGAGTTAAGTGCAAAAAAATACAGACAAAAAGGGAAGGCTATCGTGACAATGCTGAATCAGCATTTTTACAACAAGAATCAAGGTAGAAGAAAATTAGATAATGACAGAGAAGGCAGAGAGTAACCAAGAAAGACCAGAAAGACCACGTCCTTCCATAAATTCCGTAAATTGCAACCCTTAAATATTAAACTGGACAAACAATAAATAGTCCACAAAACCAAAAATCCAAAACTAATCACACTTTGATTTTGCTTTTGGTTTCTTTATTGCCATTTGATGTCTGTGTTATTTATTTACTGCCATTTCACCATCAGATATGTCATGTGTCTTAAAGAAAAAGTGCATATATATGTATGTTTTATTGATGACCAAAAAGAAGAGGAAGAAGGAAGCATTTTTACGAAAATGTAACTGCTGTTTTATTAGTGACCATACACTCCTGTGTGTCTACCTGTTCAAATATTTGATAGTTTTCTCTGCACAACAATGCATTCAATACATTTTAAGCTTCACAAGAATAGAAAACAACAAAAAGCCTATAAAATCTGCCACCCATAGCTCCTTTGCATTCAGTATTATTCACATTCAGACAACAAATACATTGTATTTATATACACATTTCCAGATGATGTGTCCATTGGATATTTGTAACTGGCCTAACATAGTAAGATGATGTATTTTACACGGTAAATTAAACACAACTGTATAAAAAGTGATATATACTGCAGTTACATTTGTACAGGATAAAGTTCACTGTTTGAACTTGTTTCGATTGGATTCAATTTCTCATAATTTTACACTGTAACTTTGTAACTCATTACCAAGAAATATAAGTGACGCTAGAACAAAGACTGTAACTTTCCAATACTCACAGCACAACATGTAATCGGTATGTTTACCCATGCTAATAGATAATAGCGTCTCAGTATAGACCCAGAAATTGTGAGATGGCTACATGACTCACATTTATTCATATTTCTGTTGTTATTCCTCAACTTAAAAAGCAACGAACAGAAGATTTCTGAAGTAATTTGAATATTTTTTTAACCTCTACTATGTTCATGTTAAAATAATTTACAGTACAAAATGATTTGATATATATTTTGCTGCTTAAGCCACATAAATGATGGACATGGTCACTGTCAGGTCACTTTCTGCTTTTATGGATCAGGTTTTTTAATTTCTTTGCAGTTTCAACACTTTAAATCTCGTCTTTTAAGCCTGCTCACTGTGAGCAAATAGACACTAAGTAAGCCCACAATAATGGCCCCAAACCTTTACTCTGTGTACTGTCCAACCATCTGTAATGGGATAACTATAAGATATAGAGCAGTTTAAGTTTTACTTGCATTGTTTTTTCAGACTCATATCATAGTCCAATTAGTATTATCTGTTATATACAGTCAACATTTTCCATCCTATTTACAGGAAACACTGCATATATTTATTTTTCATATGTACACACATTTGTAGAATACACTGCAAAAATATATAATCCTTGTCAATGTTACCAATACTGCCAGTTGAGAAAGAAATGCAAGATGCATTGACTTAACCATCCTCAGCTGGATGTGAATTCTCAGTTGCAAGAACCAGTTTGGGCTCCAGGTGTAACGTTCCTGGCACTGGAGCTGGCTCCACCCCGTCTGCACACCTGCTCAGCATCCTCACTCCATAATCACCCTCATCGCCTGCACCTGTTTCCACCTCCATTTATACTCTGCTCATGCCAGTCTCCGTGCCAGAGATAAATTAGCAAAAAGGGCTTTAGATCAGGCAATAACGATTAAAATACCTATTGGCAAAGGGGAAGGGAAATCAATTATTAAGAATAAAGAAATGGAAATATGGCAAAAAAGATGGAATGAAGATAAGAAAGGAAGGAAATTATATAAAATACAGAAGTCAATATTTAGTAGAAATATTAAGGAGAGAAATAGAAGGGAAGAAATAATAATGATTAGACTGAGAGTAGGGCACACATATTTAAATGATACTTTATATTTAATAGGGAAGAAAAATAAGGATAAATGCGAAAAATGTGGAGAGAAAGAAAATGTAGAACATATACTACTGAACTGTAAAACATATGAACGTGAAAGGGAGAAATTGAGAAGAATAGTTGGAAAGACAGATCAAGAATGGAGTTTGAAAGGAATATTGGGAAATGATGGAAATATAAAGGATATTTGTAGGATGAGAAAAGCGTTATTTATTTTTCTTCAAAACACAAAATTAAAAAATAGAATATGACTGATGTAGAATACTGTTGCTACACACTCGTGTACAGTAGTTGGCGGTATGCACCTTAAAGTTGATTGCGACCCGCCATAATAGAAAAGAAGAAGAAGAAGAAGAAGTCTCCGTGCCAGAACGTATCGAGCCGTAGAGTGAGTACTTCCAGCATTATGTTATCCTGTCTGCCTGATCTTCGGCCTGCCTTCCGTCCACCTGTTTTCCAAGCCTGCCTGACCCCCTTGGACTGCTTCCCTGGTACTGACCCCTGGACCGGCCCCGACCGCCTTCTTGGATTTTCCCTCTGTCCGCTGGATTATTGGATCACTTGGTACCGAACTTGGACTGCCCTGACCACGCCTCCAGTTTATTTGCAGATAAACATTGTTTCCCTGACTGACCGGCTTTTGGGTGTCTGTGGGTCCGAACACTGATCATTACACCAGGACTTCATCTGTCATCCCTTTTCATTGATTTAAATCTCTTCCACTTGCAGTGTTGATCTGAGCTGCTTTCCTTAAGCTTCTCATAAAAACCCCAAATATGAAAACTGAAGAGATCTCTCCTAATGTTGACCCCATGGTGATGGTTTAGTCTTAGTGGCTGTTTATCAAACGTGTTTTCAGCGTCACTGTTTATAGTAGCTTTCTCTCAACCGTATGAAATCATGTTCAAAATCACAAGTGTGTTAGATTTTAGCTATAGAATCACAGTAGATCACCAAATAAGATCGTATATATGCCAGAGGGGACAGATGTACCTTTGGGTAATAGCAACATTTATATGTTTTGAAGCCAATTTGTTTGAATTGCTGCTGACGGGTATATGGATATTGAAAATTCAGATTTATATTAAATAGATGGTAAGTGTATTTGAGTGTGCAGTGCGAGTTTAAGTGGAAAAAGAAGTTAACAAAGCATCCTAGAGGGAACTTGGATTAACGTCCCTCCCTCTCTGCTGGGCTGTGGCCAGGCCTCTGAAGTCAACTCTCCTTTCTCAGACATATAGAGTAATAACTATAGTAATACTATAGAAATAAGAGACAGGCTCTGCTTAGAGACCCCTCTTGGGTCTAACTGTGTTTCTATCCATCAAAATGAAGCACTGGGTAGAACCAGCCTATTTTTTGCTTTTTTTTTAATAGATCATAGCTTTAAACTGTTACAAACAAGACAGACGCTTTAACCAAATTTTCCTCAAAAAATCTGCCATAAATGATTCGTAACTCATTGACTGCCAGCCATTTTCAGAACAGAGAGTCCCATACTGCCAGAGTTTTTTTTAGCATTTTGATTGATTTTTCAAGAGCCACAGAATAGTTTGTGCTATGACTATGTAAACACCGAACACACCAAAAGAAAGAGTAGACTCTTTTCTTTCATCAGGAAAAAAAAATTGTTTCTACCTTATTCCGTCTCACTGGCGCCATTTTACGCATAGCGAATCATTGCGTTTTTTTAATTTGCCTACAATCTATGCTCATCTCCCATCAAAAGTGGCACAGCTACCTAGAGGGTCAATTTGTTACTACATACTCTGTCTAGAAGCCGATATTTACGGAAAAACTTTAGCCAATCGTCCCCCAAGCCACTCGCGTTGAAAAACATAAAAGACCTCTATAGACGTCTTTGGCAGTCAACGGTTGTATTTGAATTGACGTCTATAGACGTCTTTGGCAGCCAATGAGTTAAGGTAAACTTCAGTCACACTGCGGTTTGAATCTGCAAGCCAACTGCTAAGAGGAAGTAAGCCTGGAGCCTTAGGTTGAAGCGTTGCACCAGAAAACAGCCCAACTTACCAAGTTGGTAAATCGACCTCGGAAGAACGCGCAGTTTCTCCACAAAGTCCTTTTAGCTCAGAGGTATGCAAAGTGTACGGGAATGATATATTACATCCGGACCGTATAGGATCAGAACTGGCTCTCCTCCAGAATCTCTTCCATGGTCTCCCCGAGCGTCATCTCGCCGTCGCTGCTGGAAAGGCTCTTCCGGGTGAGAAAGTCCAGTCCCGGCGCATCGTAGCCCTTCAGCCCCTGGCCTCTCATGTCTCCCAGCCTGAGGGCCCCGCTGTGCACCGCCACCTGGAGCAGGTGGGGGTGAGTGGTGGAGGTGCCCCCCTCGTCGTAGGAGTCGCACTGCCGGGAGCCTCGGGGGTGCCGCCCTCTGGTGTACTTCCACAGATGTTTTAGGGGGGCTCCTCGAAAGCAGGGCCTCACCTTAAAGTGGTTGGTGAACAAGAAAAGCTGCCAGCGCTTTTTGAGTTCAGCTTGGACCTGAGTGAGGTAAGAAATCTCCAGTTAGGTCTCGGACTGTAAACCACGCACAGCATGTTTTTACGACATTCACTATTTTTGTTGATAAAAAAATAGCGTTAATCTCCATCCCTTGTGACCAGGAACATAATTATTAAAACAAAGTTCTATTTTCCTTTACACATACAAGTGCATGTCTCTGGCATTTGTGTGAAAAGACACACAGCTTTCAAACACACTACAAAGACCAGATTTGGCTGCTAGCAAATACATTTTATCCACCCCAGCAGCTAGGGAAACTTCCAAAACTTCTTCTTGGAAGTTGATGAAGAATTCCTGACATGTAGTTCTAATTTCCTAATATTTGAACCACGTGGTGGGGATATGGTAGTTTTTTAAGCAAGAAAACAGATTGTTTAAGGCAGGAGTGAAGGAATCTTACTTTGACAAAAGAGGTAAACTTTCATTTATTGATAACATTTTCTCTTTTAAAAATGACATCCTATATTTTACAAACAATTCAAACCATATCTTCCTGATGTAAAAATTAAGTCATATGAATATCACTATGATATGGTAGATTTAATTGGTTATTGGTCCTATTTATTGGTGTAAAATGAGTAATTTACTGTGTACTCTCTCTGACTGATGGCATTAAATATTCCAGACTATATAACAGTATGTTGTCTTTATAAATGAATCCATTCTGTAATCCCCAGTAGATCTGTGTCTGTTATTCTTTTGCTTTTGGCTAATCAAACATTCAAACTTGCCCACTCCTTCCCCATTTTATGTCTGAATACATCAACTGAGAGTAAATCATACCTCTCCATTAGCAAAACAGTACAGCACAGCAACCCAGAATCCCTGCAAAAGCAAATAGTTTTAGATGTGATGTAAGTTTAGAGCAAATCCAAAATAGATATCATACTTATAATCAGTTTTCCATGTTACCTGGAAGGAGCTGAGAGTGAGGTGGATGAAGTCCCGAGCATAGCGGCTGCTGCCCTCCACACATTCATTTACCAACACTGTGAACACCACTTCATGGATTCCAAGCAGAGGGATTAGCACCAGTGTTGCTCTGGCTAAACTGATGAAAAAACAGAGAAGAAAACATGTGTTTGTGTTTATTTTGATGCATTTAGCATATGCTTTTCTCCAAGCATCGACCTGACAATAAGCTCCATAGAAGATGCTCTCTGAAGAGCTGAGTTTTCAACAGATTCTTGAAGATACACAGGGTAGGTTATCCCACCATCCCGAAACAACTCATGACAACAGTCTGGATTGTCTTAATGGTGGTGTAGCCACTGCTAGACAACAATCCATTGATGGCCTGAGTAACCAAGATGTGACATAAGCCTTTGCAAAAGTATTCAAGTAGATAGGAACCGCATCCTTAAGGACTTTGTAGTGTAACATCAGTGACCTGGCTGGATGACGTGGACCTTTTTAAGTAAGATGTGCCGCTACGTTCCGAATCATTAGTAAAGGTTTTACATTACAAGCTGGGAGACCAATTGGGAGAGTGTTGCAATACTCAAGGTGGAAGATAACCATAGACCACCAGGAGCTTTGCGTCATGCTGGGTAAGGTTAGGTACTGCCGGATCTATCTTATGTATATCAATCAATCCATCTCTTATTGATTATATTACTGGTTCACAGTTTATGGGGGAGAAACTTTAACTAGATATGTCTTCGCAACATTTTAGTATTAAATAAGGAAGTTACTCTCCTATTTAGAGAGGAGACTTCGAAGGGGAATGTCAATGAATACCTGTATCTGTAGTCGGTGAATTTCACCTGATCAGCTTTCAGCTTGGACAGCAGAAGCATCAGAATCTTGATGAATATGAAGAAAATGACCTGCAACAAAAATCCAAGGGCAATTAAGATTAAATGTACTAAAAAAAACACAGAAAATAGAAAAAATAATGCCTAGCTCTTAATCTCTTATATCTCCTGTCGTACATGCGGTTGCTTCCCCACACAGTCACATGCTAGCACAAGACAGAAAACCATGAAACCAAAATCTCTCTAATATCTTGCACCCAAGTGGAACATCATGCATCTGTAACTACATCAACCACACAATCACTGTTAGGTATTTCATTGAGGATTTCTTCAGCAATGCCTCTTACCAGTACCGATAAAGTTATTGGGCCCCTGATTATCCACCAGAACCATCTGTTCACAATCGACCAGCACCTTAGGAGTGAATAAGAAATACATGTCAAGCAATTTTGCACATTTGAATATATGAAGATAAAGAACAATAAGTATGAAAAACATTATTAAATTAGCCTCTGAAGAAAATGCTTGGTCCTAGTGGTGGATCCCTTCTCCATTTTAACTGCAGCTTGGTTGGTTGATCCATCTAACATATGGAGTCATCACTGATTGGTTGTCTAAGTCAAAACCGATCCATTTGTGTATCTTTTAAATAAGGTACACAACACCAGAGGTACAACGTTGGCCTTTAAGGGGTTCAAGCTACAAGGGTAAAAGTAAGTACCCCCTGTTGAGGGACGAACATAGGGTCAATAATACAATAGAAGAATGGCCCTTTTTTGGAGGATTTTCATTCAGTTTTCAATTTCATATCCTGTTGAGCATGGGAAAATTGATGAAATACTTGCAACCATCCACAGCCCACTGCTTCTCCTCTTAGACCACTGTAAACTTGTCATGTTTTGTTAAGGTGATGGTAAATTTCTTTTCCAGTCCGACTCATAAAACAGGTGTAGAGGACTGCCTTCTTTCGTTGCAGTCATCTTAAAAATGACTGTATTTCTTTGTTGGGTCTGTCCCAAAAATCTATGAAAAGCCCCCAAGCTGATCCAAAATGCGGCAGATCTTACGAATATTAGAACTCAAGATCATAGTACTCAAGATTTACCTTCTCTTCAGTGTCTCCCTGTTAAATTCAGGACAGAACTTAAAATTCTACTCCTCAGAGGTTTTTATTTCTTCATGTTAAATGGGAATTTCTTTTTGCTTTTAAAAGTCACCCTGTGAAGGCTCAGGATGGATGATTGGATTTAGAAGATTTGGTAGAAGATTTGGTAATCTGTTTGTCTGCTAAGCTTGGAAATTTTTAAAGAATGGTACTCATTTGGATTTTGATTAACTGGATTGTGTTGCTTTCCGATTACCTTACAGTAAATTGGATTCTGTTTGGCTTCAACTGGATAGTATCTCTGAAGTGCCGAGCATTTCTTGTGATATCCCTATGTGGATAAAATTGAACTGAACTATATTTTGTTCTGCATTTTTCAACCCTTCTTACTTTGACTTGTCTGTCGTAACGCTTTGACGTCACCCTTAATATTTTGCTCTCATAAATCTTCCTGTTTTATTTGTACTTGCACCAGATTTTGCCAACCAGCATCTCTTGAGCTTTTTATTGTTTTCCTTTTTTTTCTTCTGCCAATCAGCCAAATGTAACATCGCTTGTCATATCTTGACACAGTTGAGTTGAATCCATCATTTCTTCATCCACTGGATCTAAGAAAAGGTGTTTGTATTAAAACACTCACCCTGTGTTTTCATATAGAATCTTGATGACTGTCCAAGGTGTCACAAACAAGACAGGAGTTCCTAAAAAGATGCAACAGCGAAAAAATCTTTTCACATAAATCAATTGTCATAGCTAAATGAACTAAAAAAGGCTTTTCATGAACACACTGAATATTAAAAAGCTGTGTGGATTGGACCCAGAGCTACAGCGTTACGACCCTTAGAGCCCTGACCCGCTTCCCAATAACCCAGACTTCACATCCATGACGTACCCCATCCTAGCAGCATGTATTTCTTCAGAAGGCGTCTTTTAGTCAGCACAGCGGTGAAGAGCAGCATATGGAGGAAAATGGCCTCCACGAGGAGCCAGAAGTAGTTGCAGGCCACACAGTACTCCATGCACACTTTGGAAAATTTGCACATCAGAGCTATCTGTTGAAAAATGAATATCAGCATTGTGAGACTTTGGGTAGTCCACCATGGACACAGGTACCACTGAGGCAAAATCTTTCAAGTATCTCCATGTACATGAAGATTGAGGAGACTGCGACTGTACCGCGGAGCTGGAGTAGGAGTTCCATCCAGGGTCGTCCTTGGGTAGGTTGGAATACATGACGTGCAGTATGATTTCTTTCGAAATGACGGCCACAGCCCTTAGGATGAATGACAGGAACAGATTCATGTGGATGTAGTTTCTGGTACAGTGGAGTTTCCTGGTAAACAGATACAGGCGTAATCTGAGGAGGGCATCGATCTGTGCTTCCTACACAGCTTTAAAAGCATTACTGAGAGCACATGTCATAACACAGGAGGGGATGAGAAACAATCAAAGAACATAGATATGCTTCCCCGTGGTTTATAAAGTCATTAGTAATGACTGATCGTGTCCACAGTCGGGGAAATATCTCGATGTCATCGTTAAAGAAGCAACAGTTCATCAGGACAAGTGGAACAGGATGTGAAGGATGAGCACCTCAAAGTCTGTGTCTTTTCAAATGCTTTATCAGGAAGGAAACTCATTCAGCAGGTTTACCCGGCCAGGAGAATAAACACAAAATGTTTGGGGTGACAAACCAAAGTGACGGGTCTGCGAATAATAATTATCATCTATTCTGTAAAGCTTCAAAGAAAATCAAATTCCAGGGAAAAAAACAGGAAGTTGATTTTGGAATTTATTGAAATATATATACTAAAAGAAAAAATGATATTTGGTCTTTATTCTCCTACATTGTTGGAACCCTATTAAGCAAGTTTTCTCCCAGTTTCCCCAAATGGTTTTTCAGGTTTTCCTAAGGTTTGTAGAAGGACTTTAGATGTCGTCTGCCTTGTGTTCTATTTTCTTGGCAGAAAAGCCCCAAATCGTTAAAAGGCCTTCAAAAAAACAAGTACTACTGATAAAAAACCACTTTATGAACCAGCCTGACAGCTTGGAGGCTAAATATAAAGAAATGAAGAGTAGCACAAAACTATGCTGACACATTTTCCTCATAAATCAAAAGCGCTATTTGTTTTAGCTTTAAAGACTGGTTACTGTATCTCAGATCTCTCTCTATTTAAACAAAGTCCAGTGTTCTACAGCTAAGAAACTTACAACTGAGGCCACAAACCCCAGTCCAAAAACCATAAAACTCTGTTTTCTTTAACAAACTTACCTCAGCATTGCCATTAGCAGTGTAGCCAGGGTGAGGGAGAACAGGGACAGGGAGTAACCAATGACAGAGATCAGTCTGAGGGCTGTTTGGCGAAACATTTCATCTTCCTAGACACAAAATTAGAAAATACGTATGAGATAACCTACCAGGATTTCAGTATTTTGCAGAATCAACGAGAACAAAACACCCACCTGGAGCTTTGCTCCTCACCTTGTCTTTAAAGAAATGGTGCTCCATACATTCAGAGTCGTCCCTCCAGGGCTCGGAGGAGTTTTCCATCTGTCGCCAGCTCCCATTTTCCAAGCATTCCCGATGGGCCCTCCTGCTGACATCTGCAGG